TAAGCTCAAAGCCATTTATTCATCGAAAGAAAAGGATGGAAGAATTATGAAAGTCAGGAATAAAAGATATCTGAACGATGTGTCTCTCCAATCAGCAGATAATCATGTATTCATGAAATACCCAGCGTATCACGCCCACCCGTCCAATCCCACAAAGTATATACAATGCAGCATAGAGGGATATGGAACCGTTATGGATTGTTCTCCAGGTACAGAATGGGATCAAAGTATCAGGATTTGCCACTAAATAGGCGAAAAATCAATGTAGGATAAGAAAAATGGTAACTACTAATAAATTTTTATTAAGATTTATACATAGATAATTGTAATTATCACTACAAGGTAATAATATGAGTAAAATGACCATTTTTATAGCTTTAATTTAATTATCGTGCAGAACTCTTTTTTTGAAATTAAATTGTGTCCAGGTCTAAAAATAAATTTAAAATTATGCCTGATCCAATTATTTTTAAGATAAATTTAAATCATTCAAATAACCAGTTAAAAAAGATAGATCATTCAAACATTCATTCGCTTCTCAATTTCGATTTGCATATGAAACCAATTACAAAATACAGCCAAATTTAAGACAACCCAGGCCGGGCATAAAATAATTAAATTTTAAAGCCAAGGTAGAACCCTAAAAAATTCTACGCGCAATTCTTTATAAAATCTGAGCCAGGCCTGAAAATGGTTGCCTAAGTCGGTTTTAGGTGAATATCACAAATTTGATATATTCATAATTTTTATAAAACGTAATGCCTTATGCCCTTATCACTCATTATTATTTTTAGATTGGCAAGTAAAATGATTAAAAACACTGACAAAACAACGTTGATAAGTAAAAAAAAATATCATGTAATTAATAACAATATATTCACATTTATATGTATACCTAATATTTCTTTTATTATATAAGATATAGTGCCAAGTTAGACATGTCCAAATAGAAATATATAAACCAAATTTTTTACATATATTTATACTAAATTACAATTTTTTTATTGCCATTAAATACATTTAATATTTGATAGATTAAGGAAGCATATTGAGACCTTAGAAAAAAATTTTACATGGCTAAATTATGTGTTTAACTATACGACTACAGTGGCGAAGCGTCAGTAGAAGCAAGAAAATCATTTCGCCATTTTACTTAAAAAATTCTTATATAAAATTAATATTATTTTTACTATATTATAAATTCACAACTTTTTATTAATAACAAATTAAAACTATTTTACAAAAAAAAACAATTTTTTATATATTTTTTTGATACCTACAAAAATACGAATCGAATAATTCCTTATTTGTATTCGTAATAAAAACATTATTTGAATTGATTTGTAGAATGATTCGATTCGAAAATACAATTATTTAAAACTATTAAAAAATCAAGGTATTAAAAAAATTCTTTAAATTTTTGAATATATATTTTTGTTAAATATATTATTCCATCTATATCTTGTGCATGAAAATTATAAAAGGTTTACTTATAAACGATTTTTTTACCAAAGATATTTTAAATTTTAGGTAAAATTTGATCAAAAATCTTTCTCCTTTAAAAAATCTTGAAATATTTTTGTTCAAAAGGTTTTTTTTTCAAACTCTGGAAATAGATTATTAAAATTTAAAAAGTAATTTCTAGATGTAAAAATAAAGAAAAATATAATGTTCCTTAAGGAACATGTTAAATACTTCCAAATAATTTTAAATATTTATGAATAAGTTTTAATATTTACGAATAGTTTCAAATATTTACGAATAATGTCGAATATATAAGATAAATTTCAATTATTCGTTTTAGGTATATTTAATACCATGAAAAATAAATTGGGTGGTTCAAGTATAAAATTGTTTTTTTTTTAAAATAATAATATGAAAATCATGTTGTAATTTTAATAAAAAAATACGTTTGGTGAAGCAAATTTAAAAAAAAAGAAGAAGTTTAAAAGTAATGTATAAAAAAAATTTAATCTCTAATCTTCTAAAAATAATAATTAATTAGAAGTTGTTGAACAATTATTCAAAATATTCTTTAATTCAAGAAATATCGATATGAAGAAATTGACTATCAACAACACGAACTTTACAAAATTTGGAAAAATAATCAAAAGTTTTCATCCTAATTTTGATTTCAATTAGTGCAGAATGAGTATTTTCATCTTTAAAAGCTTATTGTAAAAACAGGATAAGTATTAATCGATTTCCCAATCTAGCATTGATTTTAATTTAAAACAAATTATTAAAAAATTCAAAATATAACAATAACTTTTATAATTTTACACTTAAACAATTTACTCAAAAGCAAAGACAAATCCCATTCATTTATATATCCAATTATTTTTTATGGTTATCAGCTAATATTACCTATATCAAAAAAAAAATTCCTTGTCCATTTTCACAAAATATTTTTTATTTTTTATTTAGGCCATAAAATATCTGTCAATATATTAATAAAGCCCGTAGGCTTAATTTACTTTATTGTATATTTATTCTTCATAATAGTTAACTCAGCAACAAAATTTTAAAGAATAAACAGAAATAGGGAAAAAATAAACAAAGCTTTCTTTTTAGAAATTTGTAGATCAATATTTTTTCTAACCAATTCATGGCTTTAGCTAGTTTTTTAATTTTTAAGGGTTAATTATTAATCTGGGTATCAGCAACTGGTATCAATTAATAAATGTATTGCCAAATACCAGTGCATATCTGCTCAATATTTATATAAAATAGAGATGTACCAGATCAAAATTTTTTACAGGTACTAACACCAGGTCCTATTTTTTTACATTACCAGACCAGTTCCAGTATTGGATCATGTAAAAAATATCTATTAACTCTCTTATAATAGATTATAAATCTAATTCAGTAAAAAATATAATATATCTTCAACAATAGAATAAATATAATCAATTGATGATCCACATATTTTTCACCAGTCCGATATTGGCTCAAACTCGATTCGATATTTATATTGATTTTTCAACACCCTCTTTGGACCAAATGTAACTAAGAAATCAATATTTTTAATAGAAAAAATCGCATTATGCTTTTAATTTAATTTTTTTATTTCTACAATAATTTTAAAAAGTTTACGGATATTGGTAGTATTAAATAAATTTTTCATTCCTCCCCATGAAATTAGCATTCCGCAGATAATGCATTTTGCAAAATTATCCTTGTCTTTTGTAAAATATTTCTATATTTCAGATACTATGTTTAAAAAAATTCTTTTATTTAAAGAATAAATAATAAAGTTGGTGTTATTATTTAAAAAAATTATAAATAAATAATTGGGTGTTCCTATTTTTATAAAAACACTTTTAAAATACTATAAATCTATTAAAAAATTAATAAAATTTAAGTGTGTTGTGCATTTGCATTGTTTAAAAAAAAATTATTTAGAAAATAATTATTAATGTAATACATAAAATGAAAAGTAAAAAGATCAGATTGGATCGGGTTTTTACAGGTATCGGCCCGATCCGGTCCAATATTTAATATCAACACAGTCCTAGTATTCAATATTATTCACTTGTGGATGATTATTCTTGTGTTTAAGTACTTTATTTATTAATTTCACATTAAATTTTAACAAAATAATATTTTTTAAAAAATATGACTTATATATAAATCTTCATTTAATTTTTTAAAAAATGTTAATATATTTTAAAAAAGGAACTAGCCAAGAATGGTAAGATCTAAATAGGGAAGATTATTAAATTGGCACTAGATCTGGTACATCTCTAATATAAAGTATAATAAACATCCATATTAAAACCATTCAAGTGCCAACCTAAATATGGTCATGACAGAGAGATGGTTGTGTGGGTTTGTTGAATATAAAGTAGAATTTAAGAGTGACTTAGTATTTAATTAAATAAACCCAATATGTATATTTATTGACTAAAAGCTATTTTTATATAGGCTACAATTTATAATGTGTTTTTTGAAAGCCTTTAATAATTGTTTTGAGATTGTATATAAATTATTTTTATAAAATAAAAAAATTATTGATATCTTCAAATATAGGTCATAAATGACATTAAATATGAAATATGAAAAAATCTATGAATATATTTTAGAAAAAAGTCATTTTTTCCAAATAATGGACATAAAAAGCAAGCTTATTAAATATTTATCTGTCTTCAATCAATGACCCTTACACCTTTTGCTAGTTAAAAAATAATCTAAAATCATATAAAAACTATTTTGATAAATTAATAAATAACCATAAACTCCAAAAGCCAAATTTGGGATTATATTTATTTATTAAATATTATAATTATTTAACCTTTGTTATAATGCATAATGCCTGGATTTGGCAGCTGATAATACATAAATACCTTGCAATAATAATTTGGGTTTAAAATAGTTAAAAGTGTTTGCCTGATTGAATAAAATAAGAAAAGCTTACAACAAATTAAGGAATATTTCATATTCATTTTCATATCATATTTTATAATAAAAAGAATTAAATAAAGGATTATTTAAGTTACTGCTGAATATTTTAATTTAATGTGTAACATTAAGCTAGAGAATCAAACAGATATTTCAAGTTTGAGATGTATACTTTTATAAAAATAGGGCCATTGGCTGTGCCAAGATCTAACATTGCCATCAGACCTTGGGTAGGCTTAGGCCAAAAAAAATAGATTTTTTTTAGTTATTTCTACTAGGTATCACATATCTTTATCTTATAATTTCACATTAAGCAATTTTAAATTATATATGGCATTAGTATCGTATTATAAAATAAATAGTAGTTAAACATAGGGACATTAAAATTAACTGACCCCAAACCATATGTATTTAAACATTAATAATAGAAATATTAATAAGTATTCATTTAAAATATTAAATGAGAAATCAATTTCTATAGTTATATTAAATTTATCATAAACTTCCTTATTAACACCCTTGTTAAAAATTTTTCTAATATAGCAATTATTTTATTTCTAAGAAAAAATATAAATATTTGGTGTAAAAAATAAACTTACAAAATTCTACGAAGATATTATGAGTGGGACTAATCATTTTTGCCTCATTTTCATCAGTCAAAACTTCAATATAATCTTCAGCACAAAATCCATGATTCAGAGTATTTAATATAACCACTAAAAAAAATGTTAAAAACAGTTTCATGTTTTCAATAATATATATATTCTTTTGTTTATAATTAAATAATTCACGCAACGTGTGATATACAATAAACGTGGCTAAGAGGATAGATTTTATTATTTCAAAAAGGTGTTAATAAAATCTAAATAAATGAAACATCACGTAAACTTGCATTGCAATTAATATGCCATGTCTGTAGGCCAAAGTTGGGGTAAGAAATAAAAAAAGTTAATAAGAAATACAATGATAAAAGTTGGATTTTTAGTTATACGTGTTAGGGTATGCCATATATGTAAACATAGCAAGTCGAGATAGCTATTTTAACGTTCACGGTGAGCAAGAAAATAGAAATATTCACATAATCGATTAAATAAAAAGTATATATAGGAATGGGCTAAAGGTAGTTCTAAATGTTTAAATATCCTTTCATTTAAGGAACCCAGGTGGAACTGATTTTCGCGAGTAGTGGATGGAAACGGAAAGTCGAAGGGCAGTTGGATATATTAATTCAAGTTGATTTAAAATGTACAAGTTTATTCTAGGACAGAAAATAAGATAAGTATAATATATATTTAAAAAATATATATTGCATAATTATAAGAATTATAGGTGCATATAAAAAAAATATTTCTAAAAAAAGAAGTGGTTAAAAGGATTATAGAAAGGTAACTAAATAAATATTTTTTAAAAACGTGTGGGGTAATCTAAGGGAATAGTAAATTCACAGGAAGGTAGATCGATAGATCTCTAAAGAGATTATCTGTTGTACATAAATAAAACCTCTAACTTAGATCTCCAGTGTTTTCACTTATTTTTCTTAGAGGCTTTTAATGAATTGGATCTTAAAGGATTCCTAAGATATTAATAAGTACGGGCAATATTTTATTTTGAAATTCAGAGTATTTGTTTTTTAAGGTTTCGTCATAGATAAGGCAAAGTGTGAATTATTTGATTATTTAAATATTCATAAAAATGTAGCCCCGGTCCCAGACTAGTGGAAAGGCAATAGACTAAAGTATTAGGATAATACAATCTGGTCATTTTAAACTGGTTCGAAGATGGAGGATATATTAACCTTATGAAGGATTGTACTATAGTGTTATTGATTTTTTCTGTGGCGGGGTAGAAGGTAAGAATATTTACAATGTAATGGGTGGTGGAGCTTTTCACCACTATTTTACCACAGTCAACGCAATTAGATTATATTACTGTATTAAAGCCTAGGCAGAGTTGGACAAATATTCTAAATTTTTCTTCACAGAAGAACAACCCAAGGTTGGAGCTAAGTATTGCCTCGAGATATTGAACCAGCTTTCGCCTTAAAAATTAATGAGTTGAGGTTTACCTCAATAACCGTTCTTAAGGAGGTAATTAACGAAACAAGCAAAAAGTGAAGAATCCTAGTATTTTATTTACTCTTCTTTTCAGATTTGTTTATGGTAATATATTATCTACATTTTAGGGGCATAGGGTAAGGGGGTGTAGGTGGAATTATATCGAGGGGAGGATTCTTGCACCTCTTTTTTGCTACGCTTATGTTACTAAATATTAATATAAGTATTAAATTCCAGTTAAATTCATTTAAAATTAATAAATTACATTTAATTTTCTTTTATTCTTTGGTTTGCCAAACTATGAAAATGATGATCACAAAATATTCTCAGCAATTAATTAATCATAATTATCAGTGATAGTGGGGTAGACTAGAATAATCAAATGGGCAATATGGAGCCTAAAAATATTCTAATATACTAACTTTAAAAATTCCCAAAAACGCCCCTGTATAAAATTTTTATTTTAAAAATCAAATCATATATATAACAGGGTTAGAGTATGGACTATAATTTAAATTTTTCAAAATTTAAACATCAACAAAAAAGTTTATGCATGTTTATTTTATAAAATTAATCACTTAAATTTGTAAAAATATATTGGAAGAATATAATGAATAATTAAATTGTTATGAATTCAGATTCAACTCATATTAATTCAAATAATATTTTTGTTATGAATTCAAATTCAACTTTTTATTTTTCGTAATTCAACTTATATTACTTTTTATTTTTCGTAACCTTGCTTTTTGTTTTTTTGTTTAATCATATACATTCTAATTTTATATAGTATATATATATAGTTGTAAAAAAGAGAAAAAGTAGTTACTAATAATAAAATATATTTTTACTTACTCGCACGTTTATCATGATTCTCTTCATGGTGCTCCATGTTAGGCATAAAAAACTCGCCTTATGGAAATTTTTTTTAAAAATAAATTTTTTTTTTCTTTGTAAATATGATTAATAAAAAAAATTATAAAACGGTACAAATAATTTCTATATAAAGAAGAAAAAAAAAAGGTAAAATCATTTTGATATTATTTCTATCATGTTTGCTTTTAAACTCTTCAACATTCCTCATGAAATTTTTATTTACGACATATTGTTTGATTTAATTTATAACTGCGATGTAAACTACTCTAGAATACGGGGTACCGAAGATGTTTTATTTGCATGATAAATTGTTTTGAGTTATTAAATGGCAAACATTACGTGTACAATGAGTCAGAATCCATTGAATTAAATTGTATGTTTGTCAAAATATAAAATGTTATAATTTCGAATATATATGATTTACTAATAAAATATGGAAATAAAACCAGAGTTTATACACAAAATTCCTAAATTAGTTGGACCACTTACTGAGATTTATTTAGATAGAATATTAAGTTATTTTTCGACCAGCACATTATTGGACTCTATTAAAATAAATACTTTGCTTAATAATTTATCAGACGAGGTCTTTGACAACATTAAATCAATTTGTTCCGATACCGACATACTAGATCTTAAAATTGTAACTAAAAAATTAACTTACCTTTTACCTGTGCAAGATAAAAACACTTTAATTAATAAATTTAATTTATTACAGCAGAACTCGTCTGAGAGTTTCATGGTGGTACATTAGAGTATCGAAACTGCATAAAAAATGTAATTTTTCGGACGACAGTAGAATAAAAGAAAAATTACGTACATCTACCTTAAATGATAAAATAAAATATAAATTTTGTAAAAATATTAGCTTAACATTAAATGAGATGGTGGAGTTAGGGATTAAGTTAGACAGCATCAGCGATAAGTCAGATGTTAATAATATAAGTTATATAAATAACGACAAAAAGACCGATAAAGATAAAAACTTTTACAATAAAAATAGAAACGACATCAATAATTATTTTAGACCTGATAATAATTTTAGAAATAATTTTAGAAATAATTATGATAATAGAAATAGAAATGGGAATTACAATAATAATTTTAGATACAATTACGGTAATAATAATTCGAGATACCACGATAATTATAACAACTATAACTATAATAACTATCGCTATAACAATAATAATCAATCTAATTATGGTAGAAATAATACATGGCATGATAATAATCAAAGAAAACAGATCCAATACGGTGATGGAAATCGTAACAATTACCAATCTTATTACAACAATTCAAATAATTATAGAGGTAATGACAATAATCAGAGAAAACAAATACAATATAACAATAACTCAAATAATTATAGAGGTATAGCGACAACAATAATAGAAAGCAAATACAATACAACAATGATTATAATATGAATATTGAAGAAATTATTGAAGAGAAATTTGACTCTACAAAGAACAAAGATGATAATGATTTTAATGTTAACAACTTATCTGGTGACATGCTCAATGACAAAGATAACGCATTTATGACTACTTTAAAAGTGAACGATATTGTTACATGTATGCAAGTTGATACAGGCTCCAAACATACTATTATACCTCATGGTCTGGCTAAAAAACTTGGTATTAGAGATGTTAATAAATCTGAGCTACAACTTACCGCTTATCACGGAAATTTAATCAAGATCATCGGCACCACTCAAGTTAAAGTGACTTATGATGGTATCTCAAAATATTTACAAGCGGTAGTCGTCGTATCGAATAAAAATGCCTTGTTGGGACGTACATGGATCAATGCTTTCAAAAATATTTTAAATAAATTTATAGCAAATGTTGACACTAATTACAAAGATGAAATAAAAAAATTGATTAAAGATTGTGAATCCAATTAATGGGCCAATCAACAAAGCAAGTGTCAAGTTACATTTCAATGATCTAATAGCTAAACTTTCAGAAGGAAAGAAATTTACGAAGATTGACTTTAAAAATGCTTTCTTACAGATACCAATTGATAAAAGTTGCAGAAATATTTTAACCAAATCTACGCACAAGGGATATTATCAATTTACTAGACTTCTTTTTGGGCTTAAGATCTCATCTGCAATTTTTCAATAGATCATGGATCAAATCTTTGGTGATATGGATGACGTCATATTTTATATTGATGATTTACTTATAACTGGAAAAAACGATGAAGCCCACCTTAACAACATAAAAAAAGTGTTTGATAGAATATCATCGTTTGGGCTAATACCTAACTTGAATAAAAGTGTGTTCTTTAAAAACAAAGTGAGGTTCCTGAGTCATGATATTGACGATAAGGGGATTCATGCTAATCACGACAAAATTGAAGCAATAATTAATATGCCGGAACCAAAATCAGCTGCTGAATTATCAACATTTCTGGGAATGACTGGCTACTATAGAAAATTTTTGAACAATTTTGCAGAAATTGCCGATCCTCTATAGAAGATTGTCAACAAAGAAAAATGCGCTTGGAACCTAGAACACTCTAAAAGTTTTAATGATCTTAAGAAGTTGATTAGTCTTCCACCTGCTTTGACATATTTTAACCCTGAATTACCTATAGGGATAGCCACTGACGCATCGAAATGTGGTTTAGGAGCTGTACTATTTCATATTGAAAAAGATGGTAAAGAAAAACCTATAGCTTTCGCGTCAAGAACTTTATTAAAATCCGAAATGAATTATTTCAATATTGAGCGTGAGGCTCTAGCCATTATGTTCGCTATAAAGAGGTTCCAGGAATACTTAATCGGCACAAAATTCACAATTATTACTTACCATAAACCTCTAGTTCACATCTTTACTAAGGGTCTTAAGGATAATAGCACCATGTCCTTAAGATTCCAGAAGTGG